TGTCCCAAGCTCAGCCAGCTCCGGCAAAGCACCTCTGAGCAGACTGTCAGCCTCAGGGAAAATCAGACTTTTCGCATTCTGAATTAATGGCATTAGGCCCATTAAATCATTAAAGGACTCTTGGCATCCACGTGAGCCAGGTGGACCCCCTGATCCTCTGGGAGCCAGGAGGGTGCTGGCCACCGCCAGGGTCATGCTGGCCACCCGTCACAGTCTGAGCACCGCACGGACCCCCATGGCCTGTCAGAAACGGGACTGTGTCACCATCCTGCTCTTGCCCAAACCTGCAAGCCCCATGTCCAGGGGAGGTTCAGGTTAGACATTAGGGACAATTTCTACGTGGAAAGGGTAGTGAAGCATTGGAACGGGCTGCCCAGAGACATAGTGGAGTCACCAACCCTGGTGGTGCTCAAGAAACGTGTTGGTGAGGCCCGCAGGGACGTGGTTTAGCAGGATGGTGTAGAAGGGTTTATGGTTGGAGTCGATGATCTGAAAGGTCCTTTTCAGCCATAATGATTCTGTGATTCTCTGATCAATGGTTTCAATAAGGCACCCTGCCTTCATCATCTCACAGGGAACACCAAGTTAAGGGGCTATGTGTATGGAGGGGTCTCAGCTACAGAGATGGGACGGGGAGATCTGCACTCCTGAGTTCAGCCCCAGCACAGAAGTGCTGCCAGAAACGCGTGTTCCAGGAGTCTACAACATTTCCGGTCTTTCTATAAGTATCAAAGTTATTTCCAGTTCATAACAGAACAAATGCTGATATTTACATTCTTCCAAATGTCAGTACTTTTGGTTCCTGTTATTCAGAATAGCTTTTGCCTTAATTGCTTTTATGTTTGGTTCATCCAGCCAGTGCAGTGGTAATACTTACCTGTTTTGGACTAGTTCAAACACCGTGAAGCAAAGCCAGATGGGAACACAGGAGTGCACTTTCTATGTAATGAATCTCTTTTAAATGCGAGGTGTATTTTATTGTGCTTTTTATTTACTCTGGATTTTCAAGGAATTTTTATTTAATGAGTAAAAACATTTAAAATACTTCTAACCCAGTTTCTTATGAAGGTCTGTGTTCCTTCGAAATGAAATGCCTTTTGTAGACGTGTGAGATGCCTGTGGGTACACTAAATAACCATTTAAAAAAAAATGCTAAGTTAAGTAACTTCTTCAATAGAAGAGATGTGGTGTGGTATCCTGATTAGCAAAAAGGAGTGTCAGGTTCTGCATCAAGGCTATATTTGGTTGCAGATCAACATACGTTGATAGTTAGCGGAGGAATGAGAATGAACTGTTTTTTGGGAAAATGACTTTGCAAAGGCAGAACAAGGGTTACTTGCTGTTAAGTTTTTGCAGGATTTCCAACCGTGAGCTTAGCAGGATCAGGAGTTGTTCTGACCTTCCTGTTTTGGATCGGGCACCTTTCAAACAGAGGGTGTCTGCTTGCAGCTGAAGCTGCCAGAGGCTTTTATGCGAGATGTGCAAAGCAGACGAGGAACAAAATTGCTTTTATAGCTGAGACTTGGGCTCTACTGTAATTATATAGCTCTGCTTTCTTAGAATAGCTACAAAACAAAAGCCAGTGTGTCTTGAAGATGTCTCCAGTGCCTCATTCAGGAGCTATGGATACAAGCTGTGTTGGTCGTGGCTGCTCATGACATATTGAGATGCAGGAGGGACATCTGGGTGCCTTTGTACATCCGACGTGTTGGACCTTGCGGAGAGGCAGCGCAGGAGGTCGTGGGGATTCACGTGCTTGGGTCGAGCGCCTGTCCCCAGCAAGCGCCAGCTCCCCGTGCCTGTGTGGGGCATCCAGGCTATACAACCTGCTGCTGGGGAGCCGGCAGAGCCAGGCCCTGCCTTCTGGCTCCGCCCATGCTCCCTGGGCTCAGGTCATGCCAAGGATCCTGAAACCTGCCAGGGAATGCCAGTCAGGGGTTTCTTCATCATGTCCATTGCTCTCGGGTTTTTCTCTCCTTATCTTCTTTCGGAGCCCTCCTGCATATGTTTTTCCTATCTCTTTTCCGTTCATCACCTCCTCTCTGTTTTGCCTCCACCATTTTTCCATGTCTTTGTTTCTCGGCCCTTCTCTCTCCTTGGAATTCACTGCATGAGCAGTCGTCAGAGGTGAGGCTGTGGTAATGTGGGTAACACGATGTTCTCGCAAGCTCTGCAGCGTCGTGGGACGATGCCACCTTCCTCTGGTTTCCGTGTGGGTGTCTCTCCTTGCAAGTTTGATGCTCACTGTTCAGGCCTGTACATTCAATGTGGCTGGTCCTGTCAGTCCATGCAGTGGGACCGTAAGAGCGCACAGATATTTTCTGCCTTGGATTTGGCTTCCCCTTCCACTTGTGCATCGTTTGCCTCCTTGGACGTTTGTCTGCTCTGGAAGCTCAACTGGGGAAAGATACTGCTGAAGAGAGGTATAAGCTTTTGGCTGTAGGATGCATGCGGCACCCTGTCCTGACCATCTGGAATGTCTTTAAGCCGTTTGCGGCACCTGTATTAGCCTGGCAGCTGGATCAGACATCAAGGCAGAGCATGGACTGGGTGCTCATGTGTGGGTGAGCTTCTGCACCAGCCTGCTCTTCATGTGGTGGGAGCTTGAGTGTGGTTAGCAGATGGGCTCTGGTCAGGTTTAATTCCAAGATTTTTTTCATGCATTTCCTTGCAAAAAAAGGGAAAGCAACTGAACAAGATGCGGGTACGCTGCAGGCTGCTCTGCAGGGCATCAGGGCTGGTGTGCGAGCTCTGCAGTGAGCTCTTGGCGTCTGGGGCATGTGGTCTTCAAAGTCTGTCCCTTGGGGAGCAGCTCGCAAGCCTCGTTTGTGCCAGCCCTGACCCACACTGTCCCAGGGGGCATGTGGCTTTGTGGCAAACCCCACAGCCCGTCACTTAAAATGCACCAAAACCTGCTAAGGCCAAAGAGATATCAAGAACTATCTATAGGATGGTTATTGTTATTGGAATTCCAGAAAGGAGATGGGTGGGCAGAGCTGCTGAGGGGCCACTGGAAACGTGTGAGACTTAGTTCCAGAGAGGTAAAATGTGGGACCCTGCTTCCAGAGCGAGGCAAATGGCTGCGGTCACCCCAGCCAAGGCATCCCCTGCCTGCACCCCCCGGCTCCCTCCCGGCACCTGCAGGGAAAAGCCCCTTAAATGGGGGCGAGCAGCAATCCTGCCGGCTACGCGGTGCCCTGACCGCTCACTGCAGCAACAGGCCGGTTCAAAACCAGGTCAGCGATGTTTTCTCTGGCATCTGCACCACGCCTGCATCTCTTACCAGCAAATTATGCATTTCTTTTGACAGACCAATAAAACGCTGACAGATTTCTGCTCCCTGTAAAAATAGCCGGGGATACATTTTGGATGGCTTCGGAGGATGGCTTTCCTTGACCAAGGCTTCCCTCATGCAGGTCCAGCACTGCCATCTATTGGCACGAGCCCTGCAGTGAGCGCGAGCTCCATCCTGCATCCTTACTGCATCCCACGGGTCCACAAAGCACCGAGTGGCCCGAGCTGCTGCTTTAAGGCTCTGCAGGCAGGAGCTGCTGCTTGGCATGACCGAGGTGGCCGCCCACATTGTCCTGACACCGACTCTGCACATCCCTTGGGTGCCTAGGTTGGGCTTGGTGACACTTGTGTAGTAGGCAGGGCAAACTCACGTGGGCAATGTCATCTGTGGCTACCTGCACATGCATCTTTGAGCAGTTCTGCTAAGTCTTTGGAACAGAAAAGTTTGGGGGCTCCCTAGAAGCAGCTGGAATCTGCAGGTCAGGTCTGTGCATTCCCCAACCCAGCCAGTGACAAATTTCTCCTTAATACTAAACCCCACCTGTGTGTGTTGTTCTTCCCTCCCCAGCACTCGACACTGTCGCGCAAGTTTGTGGAAGTGATGTCCGAGTACAACGCGACGCAGACTGACTACAGGGAGCGCTGCAAAGGGAGGATTCAAAGGCAGCTGGAAATCAGTGAGTAAAACCAGATGATAAAAGCAGCAGGGAAGTTGCTCTGACCAGCTGGAGGCAAAAATCCCATCTGAGTTCTCAGGGAAGGAGACCTGCTCCTGTTTTGGGTGGTGCTGGCTTGTCAGCCTGACCTGTGAAATCAGTGATTCCCACTGACTCCTAGCGGGTGGTCCCTGCTGCTGACCTGGTTGGTAGCTGCTGGGTTTGGGGAGTTATTTTCCCTGCTGGATTTAGGCTGGTGGCTGCTGAGGGACACGTCTTGATGGCTTTCCAGCGCCAGCTGTGGAACAGGACCTCTTTGATCTGGCTTGGGAGGTCCTGGGTTGGATTTGAGTCCTGTGCTTTGCTGCCATGGATGTCTTGGGGACGGCTGTCCACCAAACCCCAGGGACTTGCAGGTGGTCAGCAGGGACACTTGGAGGCTGAAGGCATCGAGGACGGTTTTCAGCTCACAGTTACAGCTGTTGCTTTATCAGCTGTCCTGTCTAAGCAAGATGAATGGGTGAGTCTTACTGAGACCCTTAGCTCTGTCCAGCCAGTATCTGCACGAGATAAGTTTTCTCCTGGAAACCTCTGGTATCTTCACCCCTCTTCTCAGCGGTGACGCGAGGACAGGCAGACTCATGCAAGGCATCGTAACGGGGAGCATCTGATTCCCTCCAGCCCCTGGAAGCATCGCTTTGCCTGCAGGGCAACATGCACTTGCATCCAGCAAACCACCCAAGCTCTCCTGAGGTTAAGTGCTACACAGAACCACAGAAACCTTGTTTGCAGCTGATTTTGAATTCAGGCAAACTGGTCAGAATTGCCAATTCCAATGTGTTTCTGTGACATCAATCCTCTGTCCTCTGCCATCCCCCTGCAAAATGCAGCAGGACATTTCCTGCGGAGCCGCAGAAAAGAGCCTGTAACATCACCATAAGTAGGGGAACAAACAAGCAAGGGAGAAATCAGACCAAGCATGTATTAAAAGAGATTTTGAAGATCATCTCATTGGTAGAGAGGTATCACAGGTTCTTTGTGATAAAAATGTCAGAATCTGAAATGTGGAGCAGGTTTTCTTCTCAACAAACAACTGGGTGGTTTCTCCTCTTGGGAAAAGCCTGTCTTTCAAGACTCAGCATGAGTAATAGAATAGAAAAAGGTCATTGAGCCCAAATGGGCTCTTTGAAGGTAAGATATGGAAATGTCCTTCATGAGTTGCAAATGCCAGTGAATTTGGATGTTGGCAGGGCATCTTAGCTTCTGAAAATGGGTAGAAGAAGGCTAGGCTGTGCGTACCTTTTCTCTGTTAAGATTAGTTTCCATGGTGTATAATAGTAATAAAATTGTTCACACTGGCTGAATAGGAAGATTGATTGACGTGGGGCTCAACAATAGCTTGACGTTTAATGTAAAGCGGGATGATGAACGCTTGTCAGTGCTCCAGCTAACTGTGATTAATTTGTTAACTTAATTCTTTAGGTGATATCCAGCCGCAGGGATGTCTTACAATGTAAACAGGCACTTAAGGTACTCCCACTCCTACTTTTTAGGAGATGAGAAGATTTTAAAAGACTCAACCAGGTCCTTAGACATCTGCAGGGAAGCTCTTGGTTTGTTGTAATGACAGTCTTTGGAGGGGCTCTTTGCCTAAATTATGCAGTGCTTGTGTCTGCTTTGTCCATGCTAGCAGGCTGGTTTGTGGTGCTGCACAGAACTTGGATAGCACAGGAGGAAAAGCTGTTCAGGACGCGCTGTGGTGCAGGCGCTGGGTGCAGATACGGCGTAGTGGTTAGGGGTGTTGTGGTTAGGGGTGTAGTGGTCAGGGATGTAGTGGTTAGGGATGTTGTGGTGTCCTGGTTAGTGATCATGGGGTTAGTGAGGAAGGAGCTGCTCGCCCTTTGGCGTCAAGGGCTGGAGTGGATGCACGTGTAGTTTGTCAAAAGCAGGGAGCTCATTGGGGTTTTGTCAGAAGGGCTGTCTGGGCAGAAAGCCGTAGTGTTTCCTCTGAGCCTTATAGACAACATCTTCATTATCTGCTGTTTGTGTGGTCTTGAAATGGCTATTTTGAACTGAGCTGTGCTGGGATGTGGCGATTGCACAAATTCCTGAGCTCTGTTAGCTCATGAATTCAAAGAGAGGAGTTGGCAGGAGCTCCAACAGTGAAGCTACTAAATAACTAGGCTTGGAAGATACGAGATCAGGGACTTTTCAGCTAGTCTGGTGAGAATCTCCAACATCCCGTGAGCTTCTCCCTCTGAACTGCACCTTCTTGCTTTGGAAGTGGGACAGTCGGACAGTCACTCTGTCACTCTTCCCAGGCCTGATGTTTGGGACTTCCTGGTTCAGCTTGTGCCAGCCTCACACCTTCTCTCAGGGCAGTGCAGAGGTGGCAATGAGCAGCTACAGCAACACCTCCCCAGCGAAGAGCAGCTGAGTATAGGGATCCTCCACAAATTTCTCCTGTTCACCATATCCTGCCTAGGCCATGCCGCTTCCAGCAGCAGGAAGGAAGAACAGCCTCTGTCCAAGTCCTCCTCAGTCTGCCCAGCTTGCTCATTCCAATCCCAAAATGCAGCAAGACACTAGATATCTCAGAGGGCTTTCAAGATGCCCCCTGTCCTGGGGTTCATCACAACAGCCATTCCTCGCTGCAGCCCTGTTCCAGTTGGATCATGCCTCCCCGCAGCAATGTCCTTGTGTGTTGGAGTCCGCACAGTTAGGAGCCTTTCTTAAGCTAATCCTCTCTGAAGTCTGGGCATCATACACTGCCTGGGATGGGAGGTGACCCTCTTTCATTTTTTCCTTACAATTTTGTCCATTACAAGAAATGACATCTTAAATCTAATTAAATTTTGCTCCCAGAGAAATTGGGTTTGAGGCTTGGAGGAGCCTTCTGTGGTAGCTGTGCACCTTGATGGCATGGAGGTGCTGCTTGTTTTCATGAATGATTTTGTTTTGTGCAAGACTGGGGATCCAAATAAAATATCTGTTGTCTCCAAAGACACTGAGAGACTTAATCAGCCTTTGCCTCACCGTGCTAGACTAAGTTAACTGATGTGCAGAAATGCAAGATATAGATGTCTCCTAAACTACCCTCGAACTAGGACTATCCAACGGTAGATCTGGCCCAAAGGTCCTGCTCTGGAGCCTTGTGTGACCTGGGGGGCCTTTGGTGCTTCTCATGCATGTGAAGGCAGGAGCACTGTGTGTGTGCAGAGAGCTGGGCTTGCAGAAGTTGAACAAATCGTGCAGAGCATTGCAGAGCACTCTGCAAATTGTGCAGAGTGGATGCTGCAGCGAACTGGAGATTTCCCATGGCATGTTCATCTCTGGAATTGTTGTAGGATTTATCTCATCAAAAAGTCAAACTAAGCACTCTACCCAATCTATGGGAGTCGAGCTCTGTAGTTCTCCCTGTCTGCTCCAGGGAGGCTGAGCAGAAAGGGCTTCCAGGAGACAGGGGAATCCTTGTGGGAGTTGGTGACGTGCCAGCACATTTAGACACGTGTGACATTTAGGCGCATTTAGAGCTGAAGTCTGCCTGTCTGAATCGGAATATAGCCTGTGCTGGATTTATTTGATCCGAAGGAAGGTGGAGAGAATCAGGTCCTCAGTAGTAGCTGTACGCACAGGCTGACCTGGCAGTTTTATGAGTATTTGAGTTGTACGGGTCCATATCTGAAGATAGCTCAAAAATCTGATCCCAGCAGAGAAGCCCGTCCTCCAGGGAAGGTGTCTTATCCCATGTGTCATCTTCTGCCAACCCTAGCTCCTGCTGTTGTTGTTTGGGTGCTCGTGCAGTCATGACTTGCTGGGGAAGAGGGATGTTCTGAGCTGAAGCAGCATCACTGAGCTCTTGCTGTGAATGGAGTCATGGCATGTTTGACTTCTGCACATCTCCAAGCAGCCTAAGTGCCTGCTCTGAAGTCTCTCCTGTTTATAGAGCGCACAACATGCAGGACTTGGCAAACCCCATGGAACTTCTCCAGAGACCCCAGAGCGAGCTACTCCATGTCCTAGAGAAGGCTAAGCCCTTCCCACTGGGGAGAGGGTTGATGAGGAAGGTTGCTTTATCCAGCTGGACATTGCAGGGCCAGGGCTTGTAGAGGGTCTTTTAGGGGAATTTGTTGTGAAATCTCCTCCATGGCTTCATGCCTCTGTTCCAGAGCTGCTGGTGGCCCTCACATGCCGTGGTCACAGAAGATGTTGTTGTGGCTCTGTCTATCATCTTCTCCATTTCTTCTGTCCTTGTCAGCTCAGGGCTGAGTTCGCTTCTTCCTCTGCTAGGCTGCCCCAGCAGTGCTCTGTGTTGTGCTCGCTTCAGCAGCACATACACCAAAACTGTAACGATCCAGAGAAGATTCGAATGGCCCCTGTGCAAGGATGACACACAAATTCATGAAGTGTTCCATATATCTTCTTTTGCCAGCAGGTCAAGGGAGGGGATCCTGCCCCTCTGCTCAGCTCTGGGGAGGCACCTGGAGCATTGGGGACAGTTCTGGGCTCCCCAGTACAAGAGGGACATGGAGCTGCTAGAGGGAGTCCAGCGTAGAGTGACAAAGATGATGAAGGGACTGGAGCAGCCATTGTATGAGGAAAGACTGAGCGAGCGGGGCCTGTTTAGCCTGGAGAAGAGAAGGCTGAGAGGGGACCTGATCACTGTGGACAAATACCTGAGGGGAGAATGTAGGGAGAATCGGGCCAAACTCTTCTTGGTGGTGGCCAGTGACAGAACAAGGGGTACTGGGCACACACTGAAACCCAGACAGTTCCACCTCCATATGAGGAAGAGCTTCTTTGCTGTGAGGGTGACAGAGCCCTGGCACAGGCTGCCCATAGAGGCCGTGGAGGCTCCTTCTCTGGAGATCTTCAAACCCACCTGGATGCCGCCCTGTGTCCCATGCTCTGGGTGTCCCTGCTGGAGCAGGGGTTGGACTAGGTGATCTCTAGAGGTCCCTGCCACCCCCAGCCCTTCTGTGAGACTGTGTTGGCATGTGTTTGATGGCAAATCTCAGAGTCTTTTCTCCCTAGGAAGGCTTTAATTTCTCTGTGGTAAATGAGAGTCCATTACCTGCAGACAAGTATTGCAAAGCTTGTAGATTCCTGCTAGGCAGCCCCGGGCACACCAGAAACGGTGCCTGCTCCCTCCTCAAGTGCCGACAAGGTCTCTACCTTGGTTCAAGAGAACTGACTGAGGAGCATTTGCAAAATTACTGAGTCATTTCTACCAGGTGATAACATAAAAAATACCTATATGTATTTAAATATACATATATGTACATACCTACATATATATACAAAAACACATAGCTATTTAAATATATGTTTGGCCTGGTTGCCTTATCTTTGTGCAGCTGCTTCACTAGTTTCTCCCTCCCTGCCTTGTCCCCATTTGCTCCTCATCTTAGTGATGCCTTCAGCTCCTGTCCTCTCTGCAGGTGCAACCTGCTCTGTCTCCCCAGGTCCTGGCAGTCCTAGGACAAGTCTGCCTTGTGTGTTAGTCTGCATTACACTGTCATTGCAGGGGTCCTACCTACCTATTTGCTTGAAAAATCTGCTGTATTTGATGGTGGAGGCAAGGTAACCTGCAGGGTAGTTATTGTCCTTCGTTGTGGCTGCATGAAAGGTGTCAGAAGGTGCAGGAAGGCAAGTCTGTGAGACAAGAAAGGTTGTATTGTCTCTGGAGGGGACTGAGGGTCCTGCCAAGGGATGTGTCCCAGAGAGGAGAGATGAGCTTGGTTGCTCTGTGAAGTACAGATGGAGGGCTAAAACTCAGTCAGCCCATGCTTGCACGGGCCGCTGCGATTCTGGATCAGGTCCTCAATCCACATCTCACAAGCAGATTTCGGCCAGAGCGATGTCCCAAATGGGGAGGGGTCCAGCAGACCCATCCCAGCAGAGGATATGGGGGGGATATGTGGGACCTGTGGTAATAGCAGGGCCCAGGAGGACTGAGGGAAAGGATGGCTGGAGCCAGCGTGAGGGAGCGCATGGTGACCCAGCGAGCGGAGGTGCTGGAGCAGCGTGTGGGGTGTGGGTTAAGGTCCTAGCTAGCAAGCTCTGCGCTGCCAACGGAGCTGAATATTCCTCACGGGTTGGAACTGGCCTGGGGGAGCCCCCGTGGAGCTGCGGGAGCCCTGTGGCCCATCCCTGCCCTCGCCTGATGTTCTCCCTCCTCCTCCTTGCACCCCACTAGCTCCTGGTGCCGCTGAGTTCTGCGGCGCTGCTCTGGGCTCTGTGAGGGATGAGGACGCTCGGAGCTCCGCGTGGTCCCAGTGAGCCCTTGGGGCTGAGCCAGGATGGTAGGACCAGGCAGGCCTGCTTCCCAGGGAAGGGCTTGGAGAGGGACAGGTTTTCTTGGAGAGATGGGCAATGCTGGTGGTTGGACCCCCTGGAGAGGCATTATTTTTGGTGCTGATGGTACTCGTAGCTGCCATGTGCACTCTGGGGCTGGAAGGGGAGCTCAGCTGTCCTTTGGGGAGATGCTGTGGAGCTGGCTGAGCCCTCACATGGTGGCCCCATGGTTGGGAGGGAGCCTGGGCTCACGGTTCGTTCATGGCTGACGCACGTGTATCACTTGCAGCTGGCAGGACCACTACGAGCGAGGAGCTGGAGGACATGCTGGAGAGCGGGAACCCAGCCATCTTCTCTTCTGGGGTAGGCCCTGCCAACCGGCCCTGCCCCGAGCCCAGTGCAGGTGAAGGCTGAGCCAGTCCCCCATCCTTGCATCCCTGGGCCCTCCTGGAACGATGGAGAAGCACCCAGTGTGGTTGCAGCTCACACAGGGTGAAGCACATCCCATGGAGGAGGAGCACAGCCACTTGGGTCTGGCTGGAGGATCCCGACCAAGCAGGATGCTGAGTCCTGCCTCCAGGGGCAGCTCTGAGCCCAGAAAGCTTTGGAGTGAGCGGATGTTGCCATAAACAGCCTGGCCCTGGTGGCTAAAAGGGCTGTCCGCACTGTGGAACCAGAGAGGACATTGTCCATATCACAGCCATGCCTTTTAGCCCCCAGGGCAGGGTGCTGAGGGCAGGCTTGCGCCCTGGCCCTGGCCAGCTCCCTTCCTTGCCCAGAGGATGGCAGAGCGTGCAGCCGTGCCCAGCCTGCCACGCTGGGCGCTCCACGCTCTCCACTCCGTTGCCAGCCTTGGAGCCATGAGTGCTGCTCCATGGGGCCTCACCAAGACCCTTGTGCCCGTGGGGAGCCAGATCCATGAGACCAGGCCCAGAGAGCTGCCAGTGCCTTTTTAGCTGAGCTCCATAGCCCCAACATCATAGCTGGGTACAAGGAACAACTTAGCTCCACTGAACACCATCCATTCCCTTCTCGCCTCCCGCTCAGTGGGATGTAGCCGTGGGTCTTTGGGAGATGCCTGTGGCTTTCCTTTGGAGCCCTCTGCTTGAGTCCAAGTTGATCTACTGTCCCAGAGCCAGGCCTTCCGCCATCTCTCCAGCCCAGGCAGATGTTGGGCAGCTGTTTGGTGGCACTCTGTTCTCACTGTTCCTCCCCATCACCCAGGCATCTCAGCTATGGGTTTGGCCTCTCACTTGTCACATCTGTCATTCCTTGCCCAGGGTATGCAATGCTGTGGGCAAGGATCTGAAGTCCAGTGTCTGGCCCTCACTGCATTTAAGCTCTTCTCTTTCTCTCCATGCTTCCCCTCTTCCCAGAGATGAGGGCTAATGTTGTGGGCCTCCAGGCAGGCCTGAGCATGACACTCACTGGCTCTGTCTTCTTGTAGATCATTATGGACTCGAACATCACCAAGCAGGCACTCAACGAGATCGAAACACGGCACAGTGAGATCATCAAACTGGAGAACAGCATCCGAGAGCTGCATGACATGTTTATGGACATGGCCATGCTGGTGGAGAGCCAGGTAGGGAGATGTTGGAGACCACGGGGGTGCTGGCAAGCCCTGCTGGGTGTGGGAAGGGTGGCCTGGAGCAGATAACTCGGAGAGGGTGTTGCTAGGAGCGGTCCCGGTCCTTGGGGGCACGTGTCTCCGGGGCTGTTTGCTGCCCAGGCAGGAGCTGAGGGGAAGGCCTGCTCCCAGCGGGGCCCAGCTCGGCGTTCCTGGAGCTCCGTTGTGCTCCAGAGCGGGCTGCCGTGTCGGAGCGGCTCAGGGATGGGCTCTGGAGGGAGGTAGAGGGTGGCCTCACCCAGGCAAGGGGAGTCTCTGCCGCCCCTCGAGCCCCAGCCAGCGCTGGGAAGCTCCGTGTGCCGGCGCTGGGATTACACCGCGTTCGGCGGGGCCTGGCAGCCCTGCCAGGCGAGGGCTCCTGTGGCCCTGCTCACCCCCATTCCTGCCCCTCATGCTGCCGCGGCCCGAGGACACCGTCACCAGCAGGTAAAACACTGCCTGGCCCCTGCAGCAACTGCATGTTCTGCTGTGCATGGCTCTGCCCTGCATGCTCGTGGCTCTCGGGTGGCTCTGGGGCTGTCCTGTTGGCAAATGGGCTGTGGCATGGACACCTTCCTGCCCTGATCTGCTGGGCCCTGTGTCCTGCCATGCCTGCCCAAACCCAGCTCTGGGTATTATCTGAGCTTTCTCTTGTGTGGAGGACTTCAGGGCCGTGAGCTTCTATGGCCGGCTGGCCCCAGGGTGAGGGACTTGGGCAGTGCTGTCCCACTGCTCTCTGCCCCCAAGAGAAGGGTCTCTGTCTCTCCTGGCCACTCTGTCATGCCCTTCACCTCCCCATGTGGGGCACCCAGCTAGGAATGCCAGGAGTGCTGCACCTAGGAGCTCAGAGACGCACGTGCGGCCCCAGCTCCCTGCCTGGCCTGGTGCTGTAAGGTGGGGGATGCAGGAGGTGCCCTTGCCCTTAGGAGGGCTCCAGCAAACCCTCCGGGCTCCGTGCAGCACCGTCTTGGATCTGCAGCACGTGACAGTGGCTACGGCCAGCGGTTTGGCAGTGTGGCTTGCTGCACCGGCTCAGCTGTAGCGGGAAAAGGGGCCACCAGCCCTCATGCACCTTTCACGGGAGCAGAATCTGAGCTATGAAACTGTGTGAGAGGCCCGATGGCCTTGCCCGATGGTCCCTGCTAGAAGACACTAGGCTTCTAGGCAACCTCTAACCACAAGGCACTGGTCGTGTTGTTGGAGCTGAGCTCCAGGCTCTTCTCCCAGGCCTGCAGCCGGGGGTGCCCCGTCCCCAGCAGGCTCTTCCCTCCCCACCTTGCCCCCGTTTGCTGCCGTAATTCCAAGGAACCATCACGCTCTGGCTCCAGCTGCCGTAGGACCCAGCTGCTTCCCTGCATCATCCAAGGCCGTGCAGGAGCCCACACACTAGTCCACGTGTGCAGTCCTGGGAGTGGGAGCAGGAGCTGCTCGGGACCAGGCCGGTGGATACCATCCTGCCAGCCTCACTGTGAACAGCCCCGGGAAGCCCAGCAGCTGTAGGAGCTCAAACGGAGAGGTCCTCTGTCCCCTGTGGGGTAGCCGTGTGGGTAAACTGTTTGTCCCTGCATGTTTGGTGCCTTGTGAATGTCCCATGTGGCTCTGTTGTCACCCCTGTTGTCTTTCCTGTCCCTTCTGCTTCTTCAGCACGTGGTGTCAATGCAAGACCTGTTGTGGCCTTTATGCTCTTCTAGGACGTAAGGCAGGGTGGCCAGGGGGCTAGGGACAGGCTGAGGAGCTCACGTTGCCACCCTGAGCCCTTCTTGGCCTTCCTGCTGGGAGATGCACAGGGTCCTTGCACTCAGGTGCCCCCCTTGGCCACTCCAGGGCACAGAGCCCGTGTCCAGACTCCAGCGAGCCCCGCGGGGATCCCTGCTGCCTGGGGCAGGACGGGCTGACGCTCCTTCTCTCTCCCGTGCCGGGCAGGGTGACGGCCGCGCGGTGCCGAGGAGCAGGGCAGAGCAGGAGCCGCGGGGAACACGGGGGCTCACGGCCGCGGGCGCCCGGGCGCTCGCCCCACGCTGCAGGGTGGGATGATCGACCGCATCGAGTACAACGTGGAGCACTCCGTGGACTACGTGGAGCGGGCCGTGTCCGACACCAAAAAAGCGGTGAAGTACCAGAGCAAAGCCAGACGGGTGAGTGGTGGTGTTGGCTGGTTCCTGGAGTGGGTCCCTCTCCCGGGAGCTCTGGCTGCCCCTCGGCAGGAGGGAGCAGGGCAGCCCAGCGCAGCCCTGCGGGCACCTGAGCACTGCGTTGTTCCCTGCTGCTGGGATTAGAGCAGGTCCCGCTGGACATCGACTGCAGAGACGATAAAGCCCCAGTTCAGCCGTGCCCTGGGTGATGCCGTGAACGCCCCTGTGTCTCTTGGGTGGCCACTGCCTTCCCTGGGTCCCAAACCTGGCACTGGCCAGGGGGCACCAGCCCCTCCACAGGAGCCTGGCTCCTCCAGGGACCCAGCAAAGCCCCGTTCTGGAGAGGTAGCCGAGGTGCCCAGCACTGCCGTGGTGCTGCCAGCGCCTCGGGAGGCAGCAGGAGCAGGGGAGGGTGCGAGGAGGCCGGGCCGGGGGGAGGCTGCAGCCTTGGGGGTGCAGGGAGCAGGGCAGCCCCTGGCATTCACCATGCCCCCTCCTCTCGCTCCCCGCTGCTGCCGGCACACCTGAGCAGAAGAAGATCATGATCATTATCTGCTGTGTGATCCTGGGTATCGTCATCGCCTCCACCTTCGGCGGCATTTTCGGCTAGATTCTCCCCACGGGACTGTTGGTGTGCGATGGACGGAGCTGCGCACGCCGCAGGGGCCGCAGCCGAGCCGGAGCCGACCCGCGCAGCCCTGGAGCCTCCCAGCAGCATTTCAGTTTCTAATGCATGGTTGTTTGTGATGCTGTGTGTGCGGTGCGTCTGTGTGGACCCCGGGGCAGGGGTGGGGGGACAGGGGCTGTGATGGGCGCAAGGGGGAGACCACGGGGGACCCGAGCTCGCATCACTGCTCCAGCCTGGGTGGCTGGCTGGGACCAGGCTGGGGACGGGTGCTCTGGGGTGCTGCTGCTCCTCCTGGGCTGGGCAGGACGGCACTAGCAAGGGGGGGTTCGGACTCCGCAGGAGGGTAGCGCCCAGCCAACCTCCCCCGGCTTTGCCATCGCTCCAGGTCGAGCCCTCGTGTCCATCAGCCTCGTGTGTGCTTGAACGCCACCGGCCTCGGGTCACTTCTGTCACGGGGTCCTTCCCCAAGCGTGCGCCCTGCCTGCCCCTTCCCTGCTGCCCGCGACACCGCTGTGCCCACGCGCAGCGCCTTGGGCGAGGCCTTCCCGGGGCTGCTGCCGGGTGGGAGCAGGGCCGGGGAGCTGCGGGATGGAGGGAGCGGGG